CCCAGAACAGACAGTTGTGGGCCTCTAACTTTAATGACATTGAGAACTACAGGTTAGTGGAACATTTATTTCGGTCTATCCAATCTATTCTTGACCTTCAAAGTACTTAGTTCTCAACTGTCTCCTAGAGGCCCAGGTTATTTTAAAAGATTGAAATGATTAAAATTACACCCAGAAATGTTAATGCTTAGTAAATCTTTAGATGTCTCCACAAACCTAAAATAGTTTTTGAATATTTTATAATGAACTAAGTTTATTGTAGTCCAAGTTTATTTTAAAAAGCCAAAAATAAAATAATTTCTTGATAATATTTAATCTTGACTCTTGATAGACCAAGACTTAATTATCTGGCACTCTCAGCAATCTCTGTGCAATCCTACGTCAATTAATATAATTAATGTTTACTGTTGTAGGCATATTTTTTATACAGTATCTGAAAGCTAAAATTATAGGTTTTTTGTTTTTTTCTTGACTTTTTTTTAACCCTTGAAAGTTTAAGAGAATATTTATTACATCGGAAATAGAATCTCCTTGTCATTTAAGGTTAAATTTTTTGAAGTACAGCTTACCTTTAGGTAATGTGACATTTTTGGTAATCTGTCACTCCCTGTACCACAACCTTCAGATTATCAAGAGTCAAGTGTATTATTTTTTTTTTATTTTTTTTTTACAATCCAAAATCATATTGAAAGATGCTTTGTTTAATATTGTCAGGAATTTCTGGGGTCTGATAACAGTGAACAAACTAAACTAAATCTCTTCTAGAGACCCATGATTAATGAGAGAAAAATTAACACAATTAGATGTGGTATTGGGGGTGCTGTGTCTGAGTGGTTAAGCGCTTGGCTTCTGAACCTGGGGTCCTGGGTTTGAATCTCGATGACTGGGATTTTGAATTTTGGGATTTTATTTTTTGGTACCCTGAGTGCACCCAACTCTAATGGGTAACCTGACCTTAACTGGGAAAAGTAAAGGCGGTTGATCGTTGTGCTGGCCACATGACACCCTGCTCTTAAACCATTGGGCATAAAAACAGATGACCTTAACATCATCTGCCCCATAGATTGCAAGGTCAGAAAGGGGAACTTTACTCTTTTTTTTTTAGATATGGTATTTAACAAATCAACATTGCCCTAGTACAGCTACTATTTTCTAGTTGGTCAGATGTAACTTAACATTATGTTCACTTGACAGACATACAAGAAGTTGTCTTTCCTTCCCCAGAGCTCGCTTGTTTCTAATCTCAACTAGAGCTGGAGGACTTGGTATCAACTTGGTGGCTGCCAATAGAGTCATTATATTTGATGCCTCTTGGAACCCCTCCCATGATGTCCAGTCTATATTTAGAGTCTATCGTTTTGGACAGACTAAGCCGTGCTACATCTACAGATATTTAGCTCAGGTACATTTTTTTTTCTTTCTCCTGTTGTGCCTTGTTGGAAAGAAATATCTAGGTTGGTTTTACATGTAATCAAAATGGTTTGCAAAAAAATAAACAAATTTAACATTGTGATCATCATCATCACTTCTTTGATTTCCTCATGGAACATAGGGCCTCGACAAAAACATGCCACTCTCCATGTTCTCTTGCTATTTTTTTTTATGGTTTCCCAGCTCTTCCCGGTCCTCTCTGCTTCTTCAAGTACACTGCATTGCCATGTTCTTTTTGGTCTTCCTCTGTGTCTTGTTCCCCAGGGGGTTCCACTCAAAGGCCTGCCTAGCTCTGTTGCTGGTATCTTTTCTAAGGGTGTGACCAATCCATCTCCACTTCCTCTCTAAGATCTGCACTTCTATATTTTTCTGTCCACTCGTCTCCCACAGTTTGGTGTTTTCTACTTTGTCAAAGTAGAACATTGTGCTGACAGGTTTCCAAAGTTAATGACTGAGCAAATCATTTTTAAAATAATGTGTTTAAAATAATTTAACTACACGAATCATTTTGGCATTAAATTTTGTTTTTGACTTAAATTAAATTAACCTTTCAGGGCACGATGGAGGAAAAGATCTATGACAGGCAGGTGGCCAAGTTGTCTCTTTCGCAGCGAGTTGTTGATGAGCACCAGATTGAGCGCCATTTCTCTGCTAATGATCTAAAAGAGCTGTACAACTTCAGGCCTGACCGCTGGGATGATGGTACAGAGAAACCAACTCTAGCTTTACCAAAGGTTTAGGTTTTTTTCTTCTTTGAGAGTTACCTTTTTTATTTTTTTATAAACTTGATAGCACAAATAGTTGTGAGAATGTCACAGTTCATGACACATTGAAGTTTAAAAACATTGTAAAATGATCTAAGTATCTTTCTATGGACTCCTTTCATTTGTCGTGAGGTGTTTGTGGACCACAGTTTGAAAACCACTGATCTTGACTAATTTTTTTAGTCTGCATAATAGGCGATGATGCATAGTTTGTATAAAACTCTGTCAATGTCTTACATTAGATTGAATATATACATTTCACCCTACATGTCATTAGCAGAAATAAGTAGCCTGTATATTATCAACCTTATCAATCTTTGTACAGTTTCCCTAGAGGGAACTATACATCGTGCCTCACTATTTGTCACCATTTCCTCATCCTTATAGTCAAAACTCTCTTTTGTCACATTTGTTCAACCTCCCTTTAAAGCCTCTTAAAAAATGGAACTTTTTTGTATGAACTTTTCTTTCCATTATTGTCCCATGTTCATGAGTGCGAATGACTTGTTCCAGGATCCTCTGCTGGCTGAGATCTTGCAGAGCAACAGACACTGTGTGGTGTCCTTCCATGAGCATGACTCTCTCCTAGAGAACCAGGTGGACCAGAATCTCACTGAAGAGGAGAAGAAAGCAGCTTGGGAGGAGTATGAGAATGAGAAGAAAGGAATCATTGTCAGAGGTGAGACCAACCTAGACAGAAAGTGTCAAGTTTAAACAACTTTGTTTTTGTTTTTTAAATATAATTGTCAGTTGCATGTCCAACTCTAATGACCCATCTTATGCGCAGGGCCTGGTATGGAGAGAACAGCCAGTTGGCCATTGATGGCTGCTGCTCAGATCTTGACCAGAGAAGAAATCACAGCCACTGTACATGCCTTGAGACTTCAGGTATTTAGTTTAGTTTCAAATGGAAATTTACAAACTTTTGATGGAAGTTTACAAACTTTTGATTTCTTGTTGAGTACTGATGTTTGTATCAAGTGTTTCTAAGACATCTCCACATTTATTGACTAAATGCAGTGTTTTCTTTTGTGTCCAGTTGCCTGATATTCCTGAAGATTTGTTCCATCTCCATGTCCAGCAAGCCTTGAGGAGACAAGTTCAGCTGAAACAAGAGGAACTCAGAAGGGTAAATACTTTGGAAATAACATGGATTCTCTAGTTAATGATTGGACCTTTTTTTGTTAAGAGAGTAAATGCCTCCCTAGTATTATGTCCCAGTTTTAATCTCCTGGGTTTTTTGTTTGACCTCAGATGGAGTTGTTGAGGATCCAAGAGATGAACTATCTGAACATGTTCAAACAACACACTGGATTGTCTCACAGCCAAAGTATTCAGGCTTTACAGAACATGGCTCCATGGATGCAGATACAGAGGCTGAGGGCCATGCAGAATCAGATGATGATGGTAAGTAGCATCCCAGAATTTTCATTATTTGCAGAGTTTTAGTGCTAATGAAAGAGTCATTGATTTAAATTAGGTTTCAACTAATCTCCTAAAAAAACATATTTGTGAGGTGTGCATTTTGTATAACATTACCATTGAAGTTTGGGAAGTATTCTCATTCAGAGATTTATACTTCTGGTCAGATACATAAGAGTAACACAGCATTTTTCTTTCTTCAAAACTTCAACAACACCCAGCCTCACATCACTAGAGGGCAATTCCTTCCTTGGCATTGCCTGTCATTACCTATATATTTTGTTTTGACTCTAGCCAAGGTTGAACAAGTGCTAACAATGAATGTTTTATTCTCAGGGAGCTAACTCTAGCTTGCATCCCAGTGCCTCAATGTCCATGTTAGCACAAGCCAGCCAGGAAGCTGCTGAGAGAATAAGCAATAAACCAGAGGATGCTATAGACCTGGATGACAACTGAAACATGTCTTTAGGAAGGGATTGGAGTTTTGGTGGTGTGTGGCAGGTATGTTGGTCCATACGTGATCACAGATAACTGGCTTATCATCATCTCTGCTGTATGATGACCATACATCTGATTAGCTAGAGTCATGTTGAAACTAGGCAGTGGTCACTAGGTCACTGCAAAGAAATTTTTATACCTTGCTTTGTGTCTTGTTATTGTAAATGTCATCAAATCCCAGGGAAACAGTCGGGGAGAGAGTGTGTATATGTGGCCAATGTCAGTCTATTTAGGTCATCTTAGGCCACAGTAAGACATATCTCATGTACTGAACAGTTGTTTTTTGTAGCTAAAACTGGATCAGAATGGTCCAAAAGAAGAAGTGAACCATTTTTTAAGTATTTTTTTATATGTTTAAGTCTGTTTATGGTGTACGTCTGGTTTGAGACAAGTACGTTCATACTTGACAGACTTAGAATCCATTCAGACTTTAGAATCACTGATGTAACAGGTCTTGTTATTGTATTGTTATCATCTTAATTTTCGATAAGTAAACATACATAGACTTACATTTCAGTAATGTAACTGTTACATTAAAGGATATTGTTATCAAATGTTTGTCTGTGTACAGTAGATTTTTGTTTTTTTTATACATATAATAGTTTTAAAAAAAAAAAAAGCATTTATTTAATTCAACTTATACCATGTAATGATTGAATGTTTGTGACCAAATGCTGACCATGTCCAGTAAAAAGGCTTAATATTAATAAACTGTTTTTAAAAAAACAACTTTTTTTTTTGTCTTTTTCAAGTTTGCTTTCTTTGATAAAAAAAAAACATAATTCTGAACGATGGTTGGGGGGAGGGGGGTATTATTAAATCCTACATGTGTGTTCAAATGTTCATAACATGTTCAAATCAAAATGTTCACTCATGTCATGTAAATAAAAAAAACTAAAAAAAAAACTGAATTTGTTGAGCTATGAAGCCAGACCAGTTGGCTGGTGCATGATCTTATGTCATGATGAATTCAGCATTTTGTTTTCTCCTATTTGTGTTTGCGTACCATTCTGTCTACCATGCCTTGTACCAGTACACTAAAAATATATATATATATATTTATTTCTATACTGTATTTATCTATTTTTTTGGTGGTCAGAAGTGGTAGACTTAACAAAAGTTCAATGTGTATATCTTGGTGTCTATTCTCTCATCAGCATTTTGGTTTCCTAATGTCTTAATTTACCTTCAATTTTTTTTTGTTTTGTTGCTTCTGGTTTTTACATAGCGCTCGGCATGATTGTTCCATGGTTTATACCAATTTGGTTTTTGTTGAGTGAATTTGTTTTGCATCTTAAGGACTTGGGGAGGGGGGGGGGGGGGTTGCGCCCTGGGGAAACAATAAAGTGATTTGCCAAAAAAATATGTGCTGGTATTCATTCATGCTGTGTTGTTATAAATATTGTATGCTTACTTTTATCCTTACTGGCTGTACATACATCAGTATTAGCTGAACTCTTCATCCCAAGTCTTTTTGATGTTGTTGTTTGTTTTTTTTTAGTTTGAACATTTCTGGTCAAAGTAATAATTTATACATACACAAAAACACACTTGTTTGTTTGATCTGAGCTGATGGAGTGATTTTTTTTTACTCTCCAGCCCTGACCTATATACATATGAACTGTACATAGGCTTGTGTAGTTGCTGTAAACATCAAAGTGTAATGTCATTGGTTGCTTGGTTTACTTTGTACAGTTGACTGTTAACATTTTTTTTTATGTAGCAGACCTTTTTTTTGTGTGTGTAGCTTTTGTGTTTGATTTTTAAAACTAGGATGCAATGAACCTATTAAAAGGCTAGTCTCTGCAAGGGAGATGATCAACTTTGCATTTGTATTGGTTGCATCCCATGGCATCTTACACTCCTGTATTGTAGAGAAGAGGGGACAATAATTGGTGTCTCGTTTTTATATTGGATAAACCTTGAATTGTGAATTAGAATGCAAGGTTTATAGTTCTTTCTGGGTTTCTTTTGTGAATCGTAAATAGATTGTTTAAAAAAAAACAGTTGTTCATGTTTTGCTTTATGAAATATAGAATGTTTCATTTCATGTCCAGGATTTTAGTTCATTTTAAATTTAAACTTAAGCAATGAAAATGCAGTAGAGTCCAGCTAAATTTTTTTTAAAATTGCATTTCTCTGGTCCAGTACTATGAGTCACTGCTTGATGTTTTAATGATGTCCAGTTTCATATTTTTACCTCCAAGCTTGGCTTGCTGTTCAAAAAGGGGCTGGGTTAATATACTAAGAATCGTACTTCTAGGTAAATGATACTCTGTTTCAGTAGTATATACATTTGTATGTTGTGATCATTGGTTTAGCTATGTAAAACAAAGACAGGAAAATAGGCAGGGGGTAAATATCTAGGTCAGTGGGTTACCCAGTGCAGTTTTTCTGTGTATTTGTTCTCACACAAGCTATGTCTTTGGTTTCTATAATGATGTCATTTCTGTGAGACTTGAGCTTCTCCAGATTTGTTTAGTTCAATGTCTCTAGTTGTGTACACTACCAAAATGTGAAACAACAAAAATAATGTGTAATAAAAATATATAAAAAAAAGTGAAGCTTTTATTGTTTAGTTGTTTTGTTGTTTTTTTTTTAAAAAAATTGTTTTAATGTTGACCTTTATTTATTACATCAGTCTGGACAGATCTATTTAAATATCACTGCTAGAAAATGTACCTGAAGTGTATTGTAGTTAGTAAATTTTAAAAAAATGCAGGTTGTTTTTTTTTAATTCAAGCATATCCTATATAATATGCATTAAATATTTCAAATAGTTCTACCAAAGCCAGTGACTCACCTGGGCGCATCCATTGTCTTCCGAGACATGAGGAGCCTTATACCTATTTATAGGCCAATATAGACAACATGTGTGCCTTAGATGTAGACTGGTAGATTTAGTTTCAGGACTATTCTACACTATCAACGAAAGCTCTTCAAAGTGATTCTAGGCCTGATCCTATATTTGACGCATAGATCTTTGCATAAGGAAAATTTAAAGTAGATTGATATGTTTGAATATATATGTCTGTGATTGATGTGGCGATGTCAATTTCTATCCAAAAAAAAAAAAAGTAAGTTAAATTAATGTGGGAATAGTACAATTTCAAAACTATAACTAGGTTACAAAGACAGTTTGTGTGAAACACAAACTCAAAATGCCCCCCCCCCCCCCTCCCGAAGTTGTCCATCCAGGCAGGTAAAAAGGCGGTTTTCAATATTTTCAGAAAGAACATTAGAATGAAATTCTATCAAAGATATATGACAGAGAAGAATGGAAAAGAAAGTTGACAGATCTTGTGTGGTGCCCCAGCGGTCCAGCAGACCAAAGGATAGGTGAAAGTGAAGTTAGATGTGAACCTGGCCTAACTGATGTCTTATAATGAATATCTAATTGATCTCATTGTTTTGTAAAGGGTCAATTTCTTTTTCAAATCCTCAAGTAAAAAATATACATTTACGTAAAAAAATATTCCTACAGTTAAGTGTAATAGGATAAAATCTTGCTGCAGTTCACGCGATAATATGAAAAACTACTTATTAATTGTTGTTTTAAATTATGTCCGACTTATATGCATACTAAATAGATGTTTTCTCTTTAAAAAAAAAAAGTGAACATTTTTTGTGTGTAAATGTTGTAGACTAACGCACTAAATTTATCTTGATGCCAACTTAATGACTAAATTTACTATGAACTTGGATCGGATACATTATTTGTGATAGTAAATGTTATTGTTTTGACTGGCCCATAACATTATTGTAACCCAGTAACCCACATTGCTGACATGTGGAAAGAATGCGAAAGAGGGGATTATGAACGCCTTTTAGGCCTATATATTGGTACGATCTAAAAAATAAAGTCAGCATGAACACAGACAAGAAAGTGTTTGTTAGTGTCTACTAGCCTGTGTGTGTGTGTTCTGATCATTGGCAATGTGAACGATTAAGAGGCATTGTTTTATTGCTGAACAGCTGCTATGGTTTGGGTAACTTGACCAATGGGCATCTTTATCGTTTGGGGGATCTATTTATGCAAAAGTCATTGTATTTTAATTTGTTATTTAAGCGCTTTTCATTTTAACTGTGGGACGTATGCACTCTCTGAACGCACTTTGGCCTAGATACTACATGTGGGGTGCAACATAGGCGCTCTCTGTACGCCCTTAATGGCCTACATGCTACATGTGGGGTGCAGCATAGGCGCTCTTTGTACGCACATCAAGGCCTACATGTGGGGTGCAACATAGGCGCTCTCTGTACGCCCTTTATGGCCAACACCCTACATGTAGGGTGCAACAGAGGAGCTCTCCATACGCACTTTAAGGCCTACATGTAGGGTGCAACATAGGCGCTCTCTGTAAGAACTTTATGGCCTACATGCTACATGTGGGGTGCAACATAGGCGCTCTCTGTAAGAACTTTATGGCCTACATGCTACATGTGGGGTGCAACATAGGCGCTCTCTGTAAGAACTTTATGGCCTACATACTACACGTGGGGTGCAACATTGGCGCTCTCTGTAAGAACTTTATGGCCTACATGCTACATGTGGGGTGCAACATTGGCGCTCTCTGTAAGAACGTTATGGCCTACATGCAACATGTAAGGTGCAACAGAGGCGCTCTCTTTAAGAACTTTATGGCCTACATGCAACATGTAAGGTGCAACAGAGGCGCTCTCTTTAAGAACTTTATGGCCTACATGCTACATGTGGGGTGCAACATAGGCGCTCTCTGTAAGAACTTTATGGCCTACATGCTACATGTGGGGTGCAACATTGGCGCTGCCTGTACACCCTTTAAGGCCTACATGTAGGGTGCAACATAGGCGCTCTCTGTAAGAACTTTATGGCCTACATACTACATGTGGGGTGCAACATAGGCGCTCTCTGTAAGAACTTTATGGCCTACATTCTACACGTGGGGTGCAGCATAGGCGCTATATGTAAGAACTTTATGGCCTACATGCTACATGTGGGGTGCAACATAGGCGCTCTCTGTAAGAACTTTATGGCCTACATGCTACATGTGGGGTGCAACAGAGGCGCTCTCTGTAAGAACTTTATGGCCTACATGTAGGGTGCAACATAGGCGCTCTCTGTAAGAACTTTATGGCCTACATACTATTAGTGGGGTGCAGCATAGGCGCTCTCTGTAAGAACTTTATGGCCTACATGCTACATGTGGGGTGCAACAGAGGCGCTCTCTGTAAGAACTTTATGGCCTACATGCTACATGTGGGGTGCAACATAGGCGCTCTCTGTAAGAACTTTATGGCCTACATGCTACATGTGGGGTGCAACATTGGCGCTCTCTGTAAGAACTTTATGGCCTACATACTACATGTGGGGTGCAACATAGGCGCTCTCTGTAAGAACTTTATGGCCTACATTCTACATGTGGGGTGCAGCATAGGCGCTATATGTAAGAACTTTATGGCCTACATGCTACATGTGGGGTGCAGCATAGGCGCTCTCTGTAAGAACTTTATGGCCTACATGCTACATGTGGGGTGCAACATAGGCGCTCTCTGTAAGAACTTTATGACCTACATGCTACATGTGGGGTGCAACATTGGCGCTCTCTGTAAGAACTTTATGGCCTACATACTACATGTGGGGTGCAACATAGGCGCTCTCTGTAAGAACTTTATGGCCTACATTCTACACGTGGGGTGCAGCATAGGCGCTATATGTAAGAACTTTATGGCCTACATGCTACATGTGGGGTGCAACATAGGCGCTCTCTGTAAGAACTTTATGGCCTACATGCTACATGTGGGGTGCAACAGAGGCGCTCTCTGTAAGAACTTTATGGCCTACATGCTACATGTGGGATGCAACATAGGCGCTCTCTGTAAGAACTTATGGCCTACATTCTACACGTGGGGCGCAGCATAGCCGCTATCTGTAATAATTTTATGACCTACATGCTACATGTGGGGTGCAACATAAACGCTACCTGTACACCCTTGAAGGCCTACATGTAGGGTGCAACATAGGCGCTCTCTGTAAGAACGTTATGGCCTACATGCAACATGTAAGGTGCAACATAGGCGCTCTCTGTAAGAACTTTATGGCCTACATTCTACACGTGGGGTGCAGCATAGGCGCTATATGTAAGAACTTTATGGCCTACATGCTACATGTGGGGTGCAACATAGGCGCTCTCTGTAAGAACTTTATGGCCTACATGCTACATGTGGGGTGCAACAGAGGCGCTCTCTGTAAGAACTTTATGGCCTACATGCTACATGTGGGATGCAACATAGGCGCTCTCTGTAAGAACTTATGGCCTACATTCTACACGTGGGGCGCAG